CAAAGTAATTGTATCAAACACGTAAGATAAACGACATCGTTGCTTTCTCTCAATATAAAAAAAAAAAAAAAACAAAACAAAAAGCTATAGTGAGACAAAATGGAAGAATCTACTGTTCTTTCTACAGTAGTGAAACATTGGCCTTTTATATAATATTGAAAACTTGGCCAAAATTGATAAGAAAATTTTGATTAGATAAATATAAAAATTACCTAATGTAAAACTTGGCCAAAGTTCTAGATTTTCCTTGTGCTGCATCTGATCCTCAGTCATCCCCTCCATTACTTCCTCCATTTTATCCCAATGTATATTGTTGGAGTCCGAACTATGATCTCATTAAAATAAAGATTCCTTAGATCGTTCCGTTAATTCTAAATGCCAAGGTCGGATTCCTTTTCTTTTTTTTTCTTTCTTTTTTTTTTTTTTTTTTTTAAAAAATTTTTTTTTTTTTTTTTTTTTTTTTTTTTTTTTTTTTTTTGAAAAACAGTTTTTTATGTGTAATTTTTTTTTTTTCACATATTAGCTCAGCTTAAAATTTTATAGTTCGGTTTTAGATTCAATTCTAAATCCACCCCTGAACCGCCGTAATTTTTAGAGACATAATGATGCCTCAATCCTTGCCACCATTGTCACACCTCTCCACTCACCAATCATGGAGTGACAATTGGCAACTCTGACGTCAGCACCTCTTACTCAACCAATCAACTACAAGCAATGATTATGTGACATCATGCATCATTACCTGATGGCACAACTATAGCCAAATGAACTGATGAGGCTGCATTCAACACTTCCAGTACTTGACTTGAATTATCCACCTTATCCTCATTTCTAATCGAACTAGTCTTTTCTTTCACAACCAACATTGGATGCACACCACCTCCAATTTTTAACTTTTAGCATTGTCTCTATTATTAATGTTTGTGTAATTTTCTTCCGTCACTTGTACCATAGCACCACCAGGATTACCCACATTCCAAGCACTTTCAACACTAGGACCACCAAAATGAGACACATTCTCCCCACCACTGGGCCCAACACCTTAGGTGATATGAGCAGAACTGCTCCCTTCTTCCTCACCTTCTCCTTTACAACCAAGTACACATCATATTCCATTGCCTCTTTTGCCCTTATCCTTGTGAATGCAACGCCCTCTACCCATCTTCCACTCTTGCCGCCACATCAAACTTAGATATTGACCTCACGGTAATCTTCGCTAAAACAAACAAGATATTTGCCGCTGTCTTATCAATTAATATTTATGCATTCAAATCTCAAAATACAATCTAACCATTTATGCATTCAAATGGTTTGGTACATTTTTTTTTCACAAAAATTGCACGAGATAGGCACATTCATTCAATGACCTTAAGCTAGTAAAAGTAAATGATACTATAGCAATTGATGCCAAGATTGTTGATAAATTTTGCAACCACTTAGAGAATAGACCATTTGTACTTTTAGCATTAGCTGATAAGTGCTCAGAGTAGGAATGTTAGAGGGTAGAGCCCTTTCTTCGAAGCGATTGAAATTTATAAAAGATGCACTAGCACATGATATTGCAGCCACTTCTACCCTATATGCCAATTCTTAATAAAATTCCTTCATAGTCCCTAAACTCCTAACAAATGATGACTTGACCTAAATTTAATAAAGATAATGTAATTAACTAAATAAAGAACTAAAATCAGTTAAAACTTGTGCTCCTTACTGTCATGTACTTCATCAATTAAGAAGAGCATCCTTCTTATTTTTCTATTCAACAAGATAGATAGTTTCTTCTTTATTTAGAATAATTCATTTGGTTATCTTCTTTACCTATTTGATCCACCCTCTAATACTCCAATAACCGACATTTAAAATTTGTAGCGTCCTAATAAATTATGTTGGATTAAATCACATTCCAAAATTTTATGTTGTTCAACACTTAACACTGTTCAGTGTAAATTATTCTCATTTTCATCAAACATTTTACACATGCAACTTCAATAATTGGGTGGCTTTAGATATTTTAAGACTGGTCTTTCTGGTATATACCATATGCCATATTATCCTTCATATTATTTGGCGCTTCACAGCACGGTAGAAAATTCAAATGCATCATCTGTTAAGTTGGCTGCTAGGTCAGTAAGTTTTATAAACTATGGTATTTCTTCTCCTTGAATATCTGAAATTGTATCCCATTGATGCAAACCAAGGGTTTTCTAGACATATAAATTCTTCTTTTATATAGACGATGATTCCATGATAGTACATTCAAGATTTTGGTATGTTCGTAGAACTAATAAAAAGATTTATGTCGGGCAACATTTTAATATTTTCTTGCAATAATTCTTTGACTTAAACTAGATCATCAAATAAATGTTTGAAAGCCAAAAGTAGCAATATATGATGTATATCCTCTGTAATAGTATTTCTACCAATTTAAAAAAAAAAAATGAACTTTGATATTTTGATGGAGAGAGAAGCTCAAAAGGAGTAAGGTTTTTTCTTTTCTTACAAAGATGATTTTCGTGCTCATAGCTAACATGGCCACGTCGGCTGTGAGCACAGTTTATCTTGCCCGCTGTGGGCAAGAGAACAATTTCGTTATTTCTTAAAGGTTATTGGTATAGAATTTGTAGTAGATGTTGTAATCAATCGAACAAATTAGTAATGAAAATTCATGTAGTCAACCCAAATTTATTATAAAAGAGCATTATTACTCTAGTATTTCTGTATAACATAGAGTAATCTAATTCCGCAAGCTGTTTTTACAAGATATAATTAGAGGTAGAGTATTTAGATGGAGCATGAAGAACCGAGCTAAAAATGCATAATTTACACTGCCTAAAGATGAATTTTTCCGTGGAAAACAGATCTTAATTTCTTTAGAAGTCTAATTTCTTAGTATGTATTGTAATAAAAATAAGATTTTCGATTTATAATACAAAACAATTTTGTAATTTTCCAAAAAAGAAAAAAAAAATTGCAAATACAAGGCACTTGCATTGAATAAACCCGAGCAAGTAAAGAAAACAATAGTTAAAATTGCACATGGTTGGCATGTACCCCCTCCATCGTATTCATTCTCTCTGCCGCTGAGGTCTCTGAGCACTCCAGTGGTGGGCTTAGCCAGGGTCTCGGTGAATTTATTGCAATTCTGGTCGCAGCGGCCATCTTGATTCCAGGGTTGTGGCCGTTTTAGATGCAGGGGCATTTCCTCCTGTCAAATCTGATTTCTCTTAAACTGATTTATCAGACAAGGCCCCAAAATTAGTTGTAATTAGATCGCTGAAAATATCGACGAGATCTTACAGCCCTCATTTTCGTGCTAAAAGCCGATGAAGAAACTAGAAATGCATAAATTAAATTGTCTAATGGATGCAGTTCGTTGTTGTGACTAAATTGATCAAGGATAAGTATTGTTGGACAAGATTGCTAGGCTGCAGGTGTTTGATCACCATAAGAAACACTTGTACCTCTTATCTTCAAGATGTAGAAATGAAGACTAGTTCGATACTAACAATGCTTGAGCTTCTTGACGATCCTGGTTAAGTTGGAGATGATGCTCCCTCAAAGTTATCTAATGTAATTTCAGAAAAGGAGGTTTCACAAAAGATAGCATTTGATTAAGGTTGTTGATAAATTTTGCAAACCACTTGGAGAGAAGACCATTTCAAGTAAGCGTTTGCAAGTTATATTTTAAGTATTGGCTTATAAGTACTTAGAGTTGGAATGTTAGGAGGATAGAGCCCTTTCTAAAAGGCCTTGAAATTAATAAAAGATGCACTAGCATGTGATAGTACTAAATTATGATGCAACGACACAGACACGTGTATTTAGCACGACAGGTGTTGAATAGGCCATTATCAGAATCAGAGTTGGAATAAGGAATAGAAATGGATTCTTTATATATTTGTATACTAATAAAGGGGATTGCTTTTTCCACAACCTTTGCTACAGATTGGATATTTTTGTTTTCTTGCATAAAGGATCGAGATCGAATTTACCAGAGATGTTAAAGTCTTAGTTGCAGAAGCTGAGGCAGCAGATGAATGCTTCCACTTCATCCTACCAACTATACCTAATATAAAGCCATTCTGTAACAATTAAATACGACAAAACATCGTTACGTTGGTTAAATTTTTTAAAATTCTTCATTTTTATAGTATAAACCTAATTTTATACTTGTTTTCAATTTCTCTTGTTGAAATATTTTAAACATGAGTACATGTTGGTTATTTACTAGTAACTTTGAGTTAATAATATTTAATATTTCTAATAAAAAAAAGAAATATGACCATAGTACAATGTCGGAAAGTGTCAACACATATCTATCATGAACACGATATCCTAATTAAAGTGTCCGTGCAACAGAGGTACTAAACTATGCATTAGGTCGGTTGAAACTGTTGTTTTCTTTTTTTCTTGGTCTTTGAATTGTAGTCCTCAAAAAAATTGACGAGATTTTACAACCTTCTTTCTATAACTTTCTTGATCCAACATCTTATTTACTAAAACAATTTATTGCTCATGTGTTTACTATTGTTTCTCGCTTCTCTTTGCATTAGTTACAAACATCAAATAACCATTGGTGAGGTTCAAGAAATCAATCCTGGTGCATAGACACTATCAACAAATATATACTGAATTCCTCCATGGTCTCAAGTTATGTAAGAATTGGAATTTATAAGGAATATGAGCACCAAAATTTTTACAACGGAGGCTGGACAAAATTTGCATAATAAACGAGGGAGTGATTGGCAAAATAAAGATTCTTTTATTTGAAAACTAGAAAGAAAAATGTACAAAATATTTTTGGGTTTACCTTTTTGTTAATTTCTTCCTGCAGTTCTTTGCCCTACTTTTTTTGTCTTAAATGCAGATGGTTCACGAGGTCTGTCACATATTGTTTTCTTTTGTTTCGAATGTGTAAGAATGATGTTAACGTTTCTTATTTTTCAACGTTTTCAATTTTTTTTTTATGTTGCATCCTATGTATAATTTTTTACTTTGTATGATAAATTTCTGCAATAAGAAAAATACAAACTCTTGAGCTGTAATTCTATGATGTGAAAATACCAAGATTCACTTTTAAGTTTATAATTTACATTTTTTTTAAGAGGTTTTTAATTTTTCTTGGGCAGTTTTACTTAAAAATGGAAAGAAGCTAGATTCTTGCTGTATGCAGAGTTTTGGACAAAGAATCTTGAACTGTGTAAGCCCTAAGTCTAAAAGCCTGCCTAAAGTTTTTCTAGAAATACCCTCTTGCCACCCTATTCTTTTTCATTTGTGAAAAGTCAAGTGAAAATGGGAAGGAAAACAAGGTGGCTGAAGGGTCTTTTTGGGTTTGGAACAACAAAGAAAGAGGACAAAAATGAAAATTCAAGTTCCGGTGGCCGGGAGGTCAAGAACCTGCAGTGGATTCCCGGGAGGGACACCATCGGATTGTGTCACAATCCGACAACCATACCGCCAAATATTACTCCTGCCGAGGCTGCATGGTTGAGATCTTTCTACAGTGAGCCGGAGAATGAGCAGAGTAAGCATGCAATAGCGGTTGCTGCCGCTACTGCCGCCGCAGCTGATGCAGCCGTTGCGGCCGCACAGGCGGCTGTTGCAGTGGTTAGGCTCACCAGTCACGGTAGAGGTACAATGTTTGGAGATTGCCGGGAAAAGTGGGCTGCAGTCAAGATACAGACAGTCTTCCGTGGATTTTTGGTAAGTAAATTGATCCCATCTTAATTTAGATTTCAAAAGACCCTTTAGAGATAAGGGTGAGTAATAAACCAGCTCGTTAGTCAAGTACGGAACAAACCTTGTCTACATAGCAAAATCCCATCGTCTTTCTTGCTTTTGGTGAAACTTCTATAGCATTAGGTTAAAACATTTCCTTTTTCTTTTTCATTTTTGCCCCCCTTCATTATTTCTACTTGTTATTTATGAATTTGGGTTGGGAACGGAAAAAACAGGCAAGAAAAGCTTTGAGGGCATTGAAGGGATTAGTGAAGCTTCAAGCAGTGGTGAGAGGGTATTTTGTGCGTAAACAAGCTGCTGCTACGCTTCATAGCATGCAAGCTCTTATTCGAGTACAAGCCATTGTTCGTGCACGAAAAACTCGAGGTTTCACCGACAATAATGGAAGTTTTCAGGCTCAGTTCCATGCCTGCAAAGCTGAGGTTAGTTCCATTATATTATATGTCTCCAGATTGAAATTGAATGGCTGAGTGGGGATAACGATATACATACATGTGATTGATTACACACGAGCGACAAAAGAGCGATCATTAAGCCCATGTTTGGTGTAGGTAAAATCAGAACTTTAACAGATTTTGATAAAAATTGATGAAATATAAGATTAAAAAATAAATAAAAGTTGTGGGTCTATAAAGTGTGCTCAAACAAAAATTTAACCTCAATTCATTATGCAGGAAGATGGGAATGAGCAAGTAATGTCAATCCATAGCAGAAAGCTTTCTGCATCATTCGAGAGTGCCATAAATGCATTTGATGAAAGCCCCAAAATTGTGGAGGTTGACACAGGCGGGCCCAAATCAAGATCCCGGAGAACAAACTCATGGATTTCAGATGCCGGAAATGACTCATTTGGCCAAGCAAATGCCTCCCCACTTCCAACTGCGATTCAGGCACATTTATTGATACCCGATACCCGGAATTTTCAGGACCAGTACGAGTGGGACCTAACAGGCGACGAATGCCGTTTCTCCACAGCCCAAAGCACTCCAAGATTTTCAAATTCCTGTGGATGCAATGTCGCTGTCACGCCAGCGAAGAGTGCCTGTTTGGAAGGCTACTTCAATAATGCAAATAATCCAAATTATATGGTGAACACACAGTCATTCAAAGCAAAACTGAGGTCCAATAGTGCTCCAAAACAAAGGCCTGAACCAGGAGCTAACAAAAGGTTGCCCCTCTACCAAATGATGGAATCAAGAAATAGTCATAGTGGGATTAGAATGCAAAGTTCCTGCTCACAAGCTCAAAGAGCCATATATTTCAGGAATATTGCTATGAGAAAGTTGGGAATGTCTAGAGAGAATGATAGGAATCATTCCATGAACGACGACTAATATCCTTGACGACAATTTGAAGACACTTTAGACCTTATAAATGCCGTTCTGCACTTTAATTCTGCAATTCGATCGATGTAGCCTGAGCATGGAAATGTGAATTCTTTTAGCAGTTTTTAAGATTTTAGTATTTTATGGTAATTTTAAAAATAAAAAACCTCTTCTATTAAGGTTTTGCTTATGGTTTTCTTTTGGTTACTATCTTAGACTATGATTTTTAACATACACATTGTATAAATAAAACAACTCATGTCTTTTGAAAACTAGGCCTCAATGAAATGAAAAATTGAGTGTTCTCATTAATTATGTTTAAATTCTCACTACTATATATGAATTTATAGTATTTGATGCTTAATTTTTCTAGCATTCATGAATGAATCAATGAGAATTAAAGTATGACCCTCTATTGGTGGATGTTATTAATTAGTAAACATCTACTTATTTTATGTATATTTGCTAATGTCACTCCATGCTTCTAAGTAATTTGAAAGTTTTCTTCATACTAATTTAGTTTTATATAATTGTTGAGTTACGAATGAGTTTAGTATACATATCCAATAATTTCTAGAAAGAGCAAGTAGAAGAATTAGAATAAGAGATGAGTTGCGTGGGGGTGGGGGTGTGCTGTGGTGATGGTGATGGTGGGGTTGTTGGAGATGCAGGAGATTTTTATTTATTTTTTTTATTTTTTAAATTTATAATTGGGGCTCCTTCGCACTTTTTGAATTAAATTGGCATTATGACTGTAATTAGTTCATTACTTTTTTCTTCTTTTATTTTTGTTTATTTAAAAAGGGGCTAATTTCATCATTTTGCAAGGATTTATGGAGAAAGAAGATGAAAATGTTTTAGTCTGCGAAGTTTGGGTGATTTAGGGGGATTTTGCCCCCAAAATGAAAGGTTATACGCAAAACATGCCAATGTTAGAAAGGTATTATGTCAATTATCCATTTTTTATTTTGGTCCTATTTACTGCACTTAACGGATAAACTAACAAAATTAGATGGTAGATGGTATTTCGTAAAGTTTGAGTCATTTAAAGGGTTTTGCACCAATTGAAAAGATAGGGGAGTATTTCACGATAGAGACAAAATTACGGGGGTTGTGTGCCAATTATCCCTGTATTTTAATATTAAAACATGAAATTAAGACTAAAATAAATGTGCAAGTGTTTTACATCGACTTGGAAATACTCTTGATTTCTTGAAAATATATTCAAACTTGAAGAAAATAAATTTATTGTTACAAATCATCCTTTTCCTACCTTTTCTATAACCGTTTAAACTAAAATTTTAAATAGAGCATCTTTCATATAAAAAGGAAAAAAATAAGAAAAAAGGAAGAAGAAGAAGTTCATGGTGCGAGGGAGTAGCAACCGTTTATAAATTATTCGGGAGACGGCTTGATTAGAGAAGAAGATAGTATTTTGGAAACCTTTTTCTTTTCTTTTCTTTTCTTTCACATTTTTCATTTTTTATTATCATTATTATATTAATGGTTATATTGGCACCAAAATTTGTATTTATTACATAACATTTTAATTGAAGTTAAGCTCATCAATCTTTGTTCATTGTAGCAATTATTTTCTTAAATTTTTTCATCGAATTTTTATTAAATCTTCCATTAATTAGAGCTTGTTTGAGTCTCCCCCTCCTGCAAAAAAACATTTTCGAATAGTATTTTTGATAGAGTTGTGATTAAAAAATAAGAAAATGTTTTGGATTTATGTATAATATTATTTACTAAACAACGTGTGATTAAAAATAAAATAGAGAAAAATGTATTTTAAAAATAATGGAGATCCAGACAAGGGTTTGATATGTCTCATTCTTGATAATGATTTATATCAAAATATTTTATATTCATGCTTTGAAACAAGGAAAAAATATTTTTTTGCACTTTCTATTTATTTATTTTTTAAAAATATGATAAAAAAATGAGTTTTTTTTACGACATTTCAACGAATTTTGGACATAAAAATATTATTAAATACAAAATATGTTAATTAATATAAAGTTTGAGAATAAAACTGACATAGAAAAGTCGTTATGGACATAAGTGCTATAATGAGCAAATACTAACAACTTCAAGTGCAAGAAATAAAAATTATGGTGAAAATTTAATTATCCCATATTAAATAATAAGGGCTAACTGAATTGACATTTTTGCCCTCATAAATTTTGTCACGTGCAAAGCATATGCTATAATGGACAAATTAGATGACAATTGACGAAAATGATCATTTTTGCGTAAGAGGTTGATATGTGGATGCATATGCCAAAATTGTAACTTAGGAACGATTTTCTCAACAAGGGTAAATGATCGGAAGTTTTGTGCCAATTATCTCTTATTGTGTGTTGACTCCAAAAAGTGTTGCCAATAGATGCCGAATCCACCCGCGCACACGTGAGCAAAGGTCCTACACGCTAAGACACGTGAACGGTCTAGAACGAAAGAATCAGGGGCATGGGAGTAGCTCAACGACGGGGGACAAAACTTTCGAAATCTGGCGAGATGTTTGTAATCCGATTGTACAATAATTACCAATCAGTGCTCATAATGTGAATGTAAATATTTATGAACTCGTATTGTGTTGTAAGATAATATGAAAGAGAGAGTAAAGTGTAATTTCTTGTATTGATCCTTGCATTAGTCCTTCAATGTTATACAATGGAAGTATTTATAGTGTTACATGTGAAATGACAGCCCTTAGAGGAGGTGGCCCGTGGCCTCATCTCTTTAATTCAAACATCCAATCCTAGGCATCATCCTTCACTTGTTAGCTTGCTGCGCATTTATTGCTTATGCAGAACCCCCATACTAATGACAAGATTTGACATGTATACTTATGATAAACGTTCCATCAATCATTCTAACAAGATCTTTACGTAGAAGATCTCCTGGGAGAAGTGATCATGGAAGATGTTCCTTCATGGTTCGGGGGGCTTCTGCTTCAGCTTCAGATTCGGGGCTTCTGCCACTCATATAGTACTTCCGCTTTAGGGCTTCGGCTCACAGGCCTCGGCATATGGGCCTCGGATATACAAACCACCTCGGCTAGAGCGCCACGTGGTTCAAATTGAGTGGGCCATAGGCCCACGTAGGTTGATCAAGTATGACAACACGTAACAATAGTCCCCCAAATCCAAGTATAATCATTTATGTAATTCGTGGACTTCAATGAAGTAAAGTCAGTGGGTTGGGTAAAAATTGAAAGAATTGTTGAACCATAAATAATAGTCCCCCAACTTCTTAGTCAAGGAGGCAACCTCGCACTGGGACTCATGTACCTCCCTCTTCAATGCCTCTATCTGAGCCAACGCAGACTCCAACTTGGCCGATTCTTCAAGTTTTTGGGCCCTGGCTTCTTTAGCTTCGGCTCTAGCTGCCTTCAACTCCTCTAAAAGGGAAGCAGCCTTCTTCTCAGGGGACTGGGTCCTCACCTGAAAATCAGTAAGAACCTCCCTGCACTCCCGTACGAGGCCAAAGGTCTTAACGCTTTGGCTCACAAGAGCCCTCGTCAAGTCAGTGGCATCACAGGCAGAGGCGTGTAGCTGCCACCTATCCTTCCAGAATTTATAGAAATTTTCAACAACGCTTCGGATTTCAGGTAGCAAGGCCTCCACCAAAGCTGGGGCCAGAGGCTCCTCCCGACCGGCAAGGAAGCTTGGAGACTTGCCTTGTACTCGAATAGGTTTCTCCTTGGCAGCCTCCTCCTCAACCACCTCAGTTTGCCTCCTTGCAGCCTCCTCCCTCGCCTCGTCAGCCTCTGCACGCCTGACCATTTCAATCTTAACCGCTTTCGAAGTGGCTTCCAGTAGCTTTGGCGGTCCGGCTTCTTTGCCTTGGGACACAGAACTCCCAAATTTGCCAGACGAGCTCGAGATGTGCACCGCTTCCTTTTCTTTGGCTCCTCAGAGACATTCTCCTTCCCCCGAGGCTCCTTGGCCTTTTCCTGCCTCTGGGGGTTCTCCTCTTCGGAAGCCCGCGAGGTGCTGTCCTTGGAGAGATATTCGACTCTACCTCGGACCTCCTTTGCACCACTTGACCCCGGCTTTAGGGGCCTCACCTTCACAGTGGAAGTTGCCCTCAGTATGGACGCCATGTCAAGAGCTGGGTACTCTTTCCTCTTAGATTTATCTGCAGAACGCAGCGTGTCAGTACCAAAACGAAAAACACAAAATATACAAGTATGGGAGCTCCATACCCTTGGAGGCCATCAGTTCGAAGTCCAGGAAATAGCGACTTCTGTCGATGAGGTGATCGAAGTGGCAAATCTTCAGAGGTCTCTTGTAAATATCCTCTATCACTTCAAACTCCTCCCTGCTCAGCTCGAACCTCGTACTGCAATCTGCAAACGAGGCATCAACAGTTAGACAAAAAATTCAAGCTACAAACGGAATGCAAACTACTAGGGTGGGAGACTCACGAGCTTTGTAGTACTGGGTTGGCACTGTGCAAGACAAGGCTTTATCTCCCTCCACCGCCTGCTACCTGCCCCTCACCCAGAACCATGACTCCTTCCCCCTCCCCCTTTTATGGAAGAAGGCAGCCCCACCACAAAAGTTGCATGGACCTCCTAGGGAGTCAAGTAATACCACCCATTTAACTCCTTACCTATTATCCTAGGCTGAAATAGGGTCATGAAAACATGGAGAGACATGTCCTCCTCAAGCGACACTTCCTTCCACAGGAAGTACGAGCCGACCAACTGGCTCCACCCATTTGGCAGAACCTGGGTCGGCGACAACATGAAATTCCTCAGCACAGCCCTGAAGAAGGGGTGCAGAGGTAGACGCATACCTGCCCTAAATAAATATTTGCTCACAGCCACGCACCCCGACCTCGGATAACAGGCTCGCTCGTGGGCCTCGGGCACTAACATCTCCACATAATGAGGTACATAGTACCTCTCCCTTATCTCCCCCAACCTATTCGACGTCATATTCGAAGGGACTCTAAATGCCCCCCACTCTACATTGTAATCTACTTCCTCCTCGGTCATAACAATATGCTCAACCTCGAAGTCCCCCCGATAACTAGACCCCCGACAAAACGATGCGACAGTAACCGATTCCCTACCCGAAGTCGACTCCATCTCAGAAAGCAACTACTTACACAATAAGAGGATTTTCTGTGAAAAATACCTACTGAAAAACTACGCGAACTGAGTTTGCCGGA